GTGTGGCTTGGGCCACAACACCTGGTGAAACGAGTCTCGGATATGCCGAGCTCTTTGCCAGGCTTGTATGCAAGTTTGTACATGTAAGCAGAAAGCTTCAGAGCCCACCTGACCACTCGAGGCAAAGCTTGCACGGGAACGGGCTTGTTGGCTTTCAGCATTCCAAGAAGTGGCTTGTGGTCAGTGTGTGCTTCGATTGAGATGCCCCACAATTACTGGTGGAACCGATTCACACCAAACACTAAAGCCAGTGCCTCCTTGTCGAGTTGACTGTAGTTTTTTTTCTGCTTTTAACAAGCTCCTCGAGGCAAAAGCAATGGGATGTTCCCGCCATCAGCATCTTTGTGCGCCAGAACTGCACCTACACCATAAGGCGATGCGTCACAGCTGAGGCAAACAGGCTTGGCAGGGTTGAAATGCACAAGTACTGGAGCTGATGTCACCAAGTGCTTGCAGGCATTGAATGCATCTTGTTGTTCATGTCTCCACTTCCACTTCTTCCCTTCACAAAGAAGCAAGTGCAGAGGACGAAGGAGTGACGAAAGATTGGGTAAGAAGCACCTGTAGAAGTTTCCAAGTCCCAAGAAACTCTGAAGTTCCCTGACATCCTGAGGCACAGGAGCACGCAGAATGGCTGCTACCTTGTCAACATTCGGGAAAAGGCCTTCTTTGCTGATGATGTGCCCGAGATACTCAACTTGTGGCACAAAGAAATGGCATTTTTCAAGTTTCAGTTTGAGGCCAGATTTCTGAAGCTTGCTAAGTACAGCACAAAGGTTGTTGCGAAGGTGCTCAGCATCATTTGTGCCAGTCTCAAGAATGTCGTCAAAATAGACTGCTACATGAGGCAGTCCCCTGAACAAGTTCTCCATCTCGCGCTGAAATATGACAGGAGCAGATGAGGCGGCAAAAGGCAACCGGGGGTACTGAAATAACCCCATATGCGTCGAAATGGTGACGCACTCTTTAGAGGCCTCGTGAAGGACAACTTGCTGGTACGCATCTCGCAAATCCAATTTTGTGAATTTCTCACCTCCAGCAAGCACAGTCCACAGGTCCTCGATCCTTGGAATGGGGTACTGCTCTACTGTTGCCACTGGGTTTATGGTGACACCAAAGTCTCCACAGATTCTGATGCGTCCATCCCTTTTCGTCACAGGAACAATAGGTGCAGCCAACTTTGCTGTCTTGACTGGAACAAGAATGGAATCTCTTCTTAGTCTATGGATTTCTTGAGTTACTCCATCTGTCAAGCCACATGGCAGTGGACGTGGTTTGAAGAACCGAGGCGGAGCATCTGAAGGAACATGTAGAGAAGCTTTAGCCCCCTTGAATGTACCCAAGCCTTCTTCAAACACTTGGGCGTAGTCTTGGACTAGGTGTTCGACATCGAAAAGTGCGTGGATGTTCACTTCAACGTCTGAGATGCCAAAGCCCAGCTCATGCATCCAGTTGCGTCTAAGAAGAGTTGGCGATCCGTCTTCGGTCAGAAAGATAGGTAGATCGGCCTCCCTGCCATGAAACTTCACACTGTCGTCACCTTTGCCCTGAACATTTTATAGTTCCCCGGAATAGCTTCGCTGCTGTGACGGCTGCACAGGAGCCAAAGGCAAAAGCTGAAGAAGACGCGACTTGGCCATGACAGAGACACTTGCCCCTGTGTCCACTTCCATGCAGAGCGGCTTGCCGCAAACGTCAACAATGACGGTGAAAGGCGGAGGCGGCGTGGCGTAGTCGACCAGCCACCTGTCAAAAACTTCGTAAGATGAAGTGGTAGCGGCGTCCTGCTTGCGCACAGCATTAACACGATGACGGTTACTCGACGACGGTGAACTGCAAGCCGAGAACGAACGTGCCTTAGTAGGGCTGTTGCTTTGGAATTGGCTGTCCCTTCGTCTCGAATTGCCCACCTTCGCCAAATAACCTCGTTTGTGGCAGTAATCGCAGATTGTTTTCACATGCTTGCATTTTGATGCAAGATGTTTGTCCCCCCAGCGGTTGCAGGTGTCGCCCCCAGAACATGACGACACACGATGAGTCGAGAAAGAGCTGCTTGTGTTCGCTTGCGCTATCTCACCTGCGTCTTTTTTTGCTGCTTCCATTACCAGGGCAGTCTGCTCGGCGTCATCGAAGGTGAGGCCCGGTTTTTCCAGAAGTCTTGTCTGGACATCCGCGTTGTTTATGCCATATACGACACGGTCGCGGAGCATATTTTCGAGTTCAGCCCCGAAGCTGCATTGCTTAGACAGGCTTTTTAGTGCTACGATGAAAATGGATTCCCCTTCCGCGTGAACGCGCGAGTTGAAACGAAAATGCTGGACGATGGCAGAGGGCTTCAGACAATAAAGGTTTCCAATAACTTGAAGAATCTAGTCCAGCGTCTTGTCACTGGGCTTGGCGGGCTTGACCAAATCGCGGAGCAAAGCATACGTTTTCTGCCTGCAGGAGCTGATGGACACGGCAGTACGCTTGTCTGGGGCGACATCATTCGCCAGGAAATATGCTTGGAGCCGGTCCACGTAACAGGGCCAGTCGTCTCCTCCCCCCTCGAACGGCTCGAGGTTGCCGAAACTTGGCATGGTGAACAGATGGCAGAGCGGTGCTGGAACGAAGACTTACATGAAACTTCCTTTCATCCTCGTCGCCAGTTGTTACATGTGTAGATTAACGGATGGCCAGGCGGCAGTGACTACCGTGAAGGCCATCAGGCCCGCGAAAAACATTAGAACATGTTCAGCCTTTTGCCCAGAACGAACTGTCGTTTATTGTTTCCAAAACGGCCACTCCCCGCCCTGCCAGGCTCGCACAGCTCAACACAACTATCAGCGCCGCGTGGGGGCGCTGCATTTGAGCCAACATTGTTACACACACGTGTGTGCAGTCAACACAACCTGAAACGCCAGGGAACTCAGCCACTTCGTAACAGTCCTGCATAACTATAAAAAGTGCCGCTGGCTGCGGAAAAAGCGCACCAGCATTGTGTACAGGTGCTTTGCGATTAGTAGCGTAACTATTCCAACTGCACAGCACACTGACGACTACGGAATGCGACGAAATTCCCGGTAATTGTTTGGAATGTGCCAGTGCTGTAAAACCTGAGAGCCATTAGTAGCTGTAACACTGCAGGCACAGGCTGTATTCGGTTGTCCCCTTTTCACGGAGCGGCAACATAGCCAGCAGCTGCCGTACGACATTCTTCGTGAATCTGTACTGAGTGGGGAATTGTTGCTCGTCGTACAACTCCATTGGATTTCCTTGGTCACGTAAGGCAGGTCGAGGAATCTGCGACAGGCAGTGCGCCTCAGCAAATGCTACGCTTATGGCAAGGCAAGCAAACTCAGGAGCGGCCACCCTCCGCGTGACGTCTATTCGAGAAGTAGCCATGTTGGAATAACGCATGAAGTCGCTTTCAAGCTAGCCCCGCAGCTGACTTGAAACTTGTCCTGACTTCGACCGAGCCAAGTCGCCTTCAAGTTGTCCGCAAGTTCGAGAATGATTTATGGCGACCGGCAAGACTGTCTTGAGTCAAGAACGAGTCAGGTACGAGTCAAGTAGCATCTCCGCATTCGGGGGTTAATCCTATCTTCTTGAGATTATGAGAAATGGTGGGAATATATGGCATAGTAACATACTTGTAGGGCCTCTGTCTTGGTGAAATGCAGGGTGAAGGACCAGCTGCTTAAGAAAGGAGAGAAATACTAAACAAGTTGAAAGCCAGTGTTCATATGCTTCTGTGTGTTAGTCTGTCGTTTCTTGCACTGTTATTTTTTATCATGAAGGAAAGAGTTTCATGACATAAGTGACAAATATTTACCTTACACATTTGGTGCTTGACTGTGGATTGGGTGCATATGCGATTATGCCCTGTATTTGCACCCTATTTTGGGAAACCCTCTACCAACCAGCACAACACATTCTTTTACGGTATTAGCACTGCATGCGTGCTACTCTCTGAAATACTCGAGATGCCACGTTACATCCCTCATCATTTCAAAAGCAACGTCGATCGTTTAGGCTCTAGACAATACAAGTAACTGAGGGACCATTTTGTTTCATTCACCGGCCTTTTCTGCACTCAGCATTTTCTATACATTTGAGATTAGATAGGCAATCACAATGCAGTACATCCAATGTAAGTTTACCAAGTTAGCGTACTTGATCGCAGAGCATTTGGGAATGTGTGCTGATACTCAAGGAGAACTTTTTGTTGCGCTAGTTGGTGCATGTTTTATGGAAAAAATAAGGTGCAAACGAGATGAGCACAAAAAGAGACATGGATGGACGTCTTGGTGTTTGCCCATGTCTCTTTTTGTGTTTGTCTTGTTTGTGCCTTATTCCTTTAGTAAAATATGCTGATAGTATTGGGCACCATATGTTCTCATACGGGTGTGATTCTGAGGTAGCCGTCGGCTGTGTTTTGAAATACATAATCAAGTTTATACGTGAAAAATATTACTGCGCAATTTGAACCCTAACCTGGCTGTTGCGCTTGAGACACAGCTGTCATAGTTCCCCATGTTGTACAACGACTGATCTGTTTGTACCTGCTTCGTTCTGTGAAATGCGAGATATTTTTTTCAATCAATTCGGAAATGAACACAATTGCTACACAACTAGGAACAACCGAATCACAGAAAGTACGTGTTTTATCACCAATTACACTGAACAGCACACACCTTGACGCAGCAAAGATCAAGACCTCAAACTGGAAATACCATAGGATGCGTTACTTAGCCATTTAGTACCTATTGTGTACAGTTGGAAAAGACCTGTGTAATGTTGTTCCCAGTGACAGCTCCATTTATTTCAAATTGCACCAACTACAGTGCTGACTGCGTTTTACTTAAGTGAAGCTTTAGCTTAATTTTAAGTTTATTTTGGCATAGAGACAGTGCAAGCTTTCAATTTTACAGGATACTGGCAGATCCCTCCGTACAAGCTAAAAATGAGGTGTCCTCCATTTGAATGACAGTAGCTATAAATCACGTAAAGGAGCTCACCGTGCCAGTGGATGAGAGACTTGATGAGCTCAAGGCCGTCCAGCTTGTTGTTGTCGTCGTTGTCGTGCAGCTTGAAGTAGTGGAACTGCAGCTCCTCCTCGCTCATCTTGCTCATGTCCTGGTTAGGGCCCAGCATCTCGCTCAAGTGCTCCTGAATGTGCCTGCATGCAAGGCCAACATTCAGCTTCATTTGTAATGCCTTCCCAGCTGACTGCCAATACCTCTAATCCCTAGTTAGGGTACCAACTTTTGGAAACTATAACCAGTTAAACTGGAAGCAAGTCATTCCAGTTATGATCTAACTGGAAGTGCGACCAGTTGTTTTGCTAGTAAAGTTCTTCACAGAGAAAGAAAAAAATTGAGCACAAATGTATATGACTTAGCGCTGTTGCAATCGTACGAATGGGTTTTATCGAAAAGTTTTTTTTATTTTTTTTTTTTTTTGTTTTAAATAAGGGCACTAGACAGCTGGCCTAGTAATATTGTAAGGGGCTGATGTCAAAACAAGATAGGACAATAAAAAAATAAGAAAGGAACGTTTCATGGTTTGCAAAGCAATTATTTTTTTTCCACTTTAATGTCAGCCTCTGTATCTTGTTTTAACCACATTACAATAACACAAACTGTCTCACCTGACCTGGTATGCTTTATTTTTTCAAATGGTACTATCGTTAACTATATTGTAACACATATGGCGAACACAATGCATTAAAACAAGCTTTCCGGATTATTAATATTAAAAAGCTGTTGTCAATCTTTTTATGTTCATCATGGTGACAATATGTGCAGGTGAAGCGAGTTCAATTGATGTCGGGATGTTAATATTGCCGTTTTTATGCAGGAAACATGCCTGCTTGACAGTTGCATGTTAAGCAGGCATACTGGCTGCTTGACACACGAATAGCCAGTGAGGCTTTTCTTCTCTCTATTTTTTGTGCCGCTTAGATAAACTTAACTCTATAAAAATTGGAATAGCTCACGTTTACTACAGGCAAAAAGCAGAAAAAATAGTTGAGAAGCACGGATTGCTAGGCGAGTTGGTAATTCATCTTAACTGAGTCGCGCGAAAAAATTTTAAATACAAAAGAAAGACACCTGGACACAGCGCACACTAACAACTGAAACTTTATTCGAGAGAACAGATATTTTATGTGGTTACGAGAACACATCTGGTGAAAGAAAATGATTAGATGAGCAGACAAATTGTAGAAAAGCTACCTCAGCGGGTAGCAACGTAACCGAAGAATGCGCGACACATGCATCACCTGCTTTGTTGATGAAATACGCCTCTTCAATTTCTCTCGCTACCTTGTCCCTGAATCTAGCTTTAACTACTGTATTACCAAACAAGGGCGCGCAGCCACACCCTCTACAATGCGATGACAGGTTAGAGCCTTCAAAGAAGCTTTGTTATCTATATTTTTATTCTTGATACAACGCGCCGTCTGTCCAAAATAAAACTTCCCTAACGACAGCCAAGTACCGTACACTATAGCGACGGCGCAGTCGACCTCTTTGGCCCTGTGTGTGACCTGGCAAATACCCTTGCCGTGCCGCTCACCCTCGATCCTCCTCGCAACTGCCGCGTAAATGCTGCCTAAACGGTCGCCGGCCGAAAAGAAAACATTGAAACCGTACCTTGCTCCGATTTTCTTTAAACAGTGTGAGACACCATATGTAGGTATGGGATGCTGGCAACCGGCAGGCAGTTCCTTCGAGTGCCTACCAAGCATGGAGCTTCTTGCCAGTGCTTTAACATATTGAAGAACCCTTTCAGCCGGCCTAGCCAAATGGTCCTCAGGAAACCTAGATGATGATGATGTTTGGTGCTTTGTAGCACAAGGGCCATTTGATGGCCAAAGAGCGCCAGGACAAGGGATGTGGACAATGATTGTGATTGACGGCTGTATAAGGACCTTAAAATTCCTCGCACTAAGACAGGTAAAAGCATAGAAGTAATGAAATTATGACCATGTGGTGAAAAGTGTGTGGTGTTAATGAATGACGAAAGTTTGTGACAATAAAAGCCATGGCGGACATGTATGGAATTAGCACAAGTACCTCGATTGTTAACACCCTTGCGTCCATGGGCCGCGAGGCAAATGCTTTGTTCAGTGTAGCCACCGCAACGGAGACCTCTCTGGAGAGATCGTGCTACGGAATGCCCGGGTATATCACATGAAAGGTACGGAGTTCTCTCAAAAAAGCCAACAACGAGTTACGAGTAAAAAGTGGTTTCCTAGCGATGAACATTGCAGGATAGAGTGGTATCTGTTGTCGGTAGGGTAATGCAAAGTGTTGTGTTCTCAGCATGTCTAATTGTTTACACTGGACTAAAATGTGAAGTACAGTGAGTGCTTCTCCACATCTATCACACTATGGTGGATCGCCACCAGACAAAATAAATGAATGTTGTGGGGTTGCTGACACTACCTGTAAAGTTGTTTGCGCGGCGTGCCGACTGTCTCGCACAAAAGCCGTATTTCAGAGGTCATAGCTATTGAGCTTTAGGTGGCGTGTTTGCGAGCGGTGATCATCACTATGATCATCATGTTTGTAAGATCCGTAGTGCCAGTGGTGACCTCTGGCAGCAGGCAAGCCTTGGTGGCAGCAGAGAAAATTGAGCGAGTCTTTTCTGGCGTGGCGCAGTAGCGCGTACTGTTGCCTCCAGCGGTGGATCTGCCATGAACGGCACGCGGGCCATCTGCGGTGGGCCCACGTGGTGAGTCAGGTGTTTGCCACACCGCCTTGTTTGTCATGTTGAGTGTTGTGGATGTCTTAGTGTGTTATTTACAATTGATGTATAATAATTTGGCTGACGATATCGTCGTTCTAAATTAGTTAAATAAATGCATGTTTGGTTTGGTTTGGACCAACCACGTGTGCTGTGTCCGTTCACTCAAAGAGCGTGGTGGTGCTCTCTTTCACAACGAGACCCCACACTGGCTGCCCAACGTGGGGCTCTTGGAGCATCGAACGACAGTTTTCGCGGCTCGGTAGAAGCTTTTGTTAGAGCCAGGATAGAGTAAGCCTAAGGAGACTTCTTTGCTAGTGTGAGCGGTGTGCTTTGTTGAGAGTGAGGAGATCAGTTTTTGTAACGTGGTGGAACTTGTCGGCACATTGAGTGTTTTTTTTTTTCTGCTCGCAAAGGTTTTTTTGGTGTTGTTGTTGGTTTTCAAGAACGCTGTTTAGTTGGGACGAGAGCCATGCTGTCTGCATCCTGGAATGAGCAAAGCATGGAGCATGTGGATTGTAGGCCATGCCCAAAGCAAGTGAGTACGGAAGCCTCGTAGGTGGTTTTAGTTTCTGTAGATAGCTTCTTCTATCTTTTTTCGGCTAAGGGAGCCAGGCGTCGTGGCTGTATGGTATTGCGGCTCTCGTGACACCGTCCGGGACGGTGGACGCCGATCGCTCGGTAAGGTGCTGTGTGCGACGAGTGATAGGGTCTCTTTAAAAAGTGGATGTCTCCTTGCAGCTGCCAACACTGCGGCAAGGCTGGGTGCCAGTCGTTGTCAAGCGACTCATTAGGCCTAAGGCATTGTACAGCCGCCTGTCGCATGTAGCACAACAAGGTGGATCGCGGAGTTGAGGTGTTGCACTCCGCTTCCCTCAATGTGTAGTGTATGTATGTCCTATTCTTAACCTCGCAGGTATTACTTCTGTGTGGCCTGATTTTGATACTGGCAGCCAATGACCAAATTGCGGCTTGATGACATGCAATTTATTACCTGTGTGTGTCCTATGTGCTCTGCCAATAACCCCTGAGCTTTCGTTTTAGAGAAGGTTTCAAGTCAAGTGCAGGAATTGGTATCAATCTATTGGTAGTGGTTTTGTTGGCAGATCCAGCTAGCTGGATTACCAGAACGTTCCCTTGTATTTCGCGGTGTCTTGACACTCAACAGACAACATACTGCTTGGATGAGTAGACTGTGCATAAGAGTGAATAAAGCGAGACAAGGACAGGATTTTTGTGCTTTTTAAAAGTATTCAGAGCACTTAGTACACTTGAGGCATCTGTATATATTATTGCCTTCTGTTGTCTCATTTTTTTCAATGCGTTTAATGGCCGCAAGTATCCCATAAGCTTTGCCGGTGAAAACGCTCGTATCAGAGTGCAGGACGCCGTCATCCGAAAAGAATGGGCTGACGGCTACGTAAGAAACAGAAGTGTTGGACTTTAAAGCACCCGTAAAGAACTCGGGACATGTGTGTTTCTGTTGTAGTTCTAGGAACTATATCTGAATATGTGCAATTGTTGCATACTTTGTAACCTCCAAGAAAGATACGTCGCAATTTATCGCCCGCAGCTGCTATGGTGGCAGGCATACCGCGGGAGCCATCAAAGGGTGTTCAAGTGGCACACCGGTTTCCTTTGCTAGGCTCCTCAAACGGAGTGAGTACGGCTGTCTCATAGAAAGCCGTTTTTGTAAACCCAGCAGGGCTTGACATGCCATTAATTATAGAATGTGCAGGATGTGCTTTCTCTGCATTCACTTTAAGATAATATTTAAAAGGCATTTAACAGCTGTGTAGATGGAGCGACCATTCGTTCGATTTCAAGTACAGGCTTTCTACGGGGCAAGTGCGAAAAGCACCCGTAGAGAGGCGGATGCCTAGATGATAAACAGGGTCAAGCATTTTAAGGGCAGTAGGTGTCGCAGACTGATATGCTATTGCCCCATAGTCTAGGCTATTGCCCCATACAAATTGATGATGATGATGAGTGGTATTTTATGGTGCAAGGGCCGATTGATGGCCAAAGAGTGCCTATTCAGTAGGCTAGAGATATGAACAATGTGTGGCTGTAAAGGGGCCTTAAAATTTCTCCCGTTAACACGGGTAAAAACATAGAGGTAACAAAATCATCGCAGTGACGTGAAATATGAGCAGTGAAAGTGGATGGCAAAATGTCATGATAATAAAATCATGGCGGAGATGAAGTCACCGCAGCCAACGACCACGGTATAGAGGTCATGCTACGGATCAGCTCGAAATATGGGGTGAAAGCTGTGAACGTCTTTTAAAACCTGAAAAGTGATTGCAGTTTAAAAAGCGGATCCCTACTGATGAGCATCCCAGGATGTAGTGGGAGCTGCTGTCGGTAGGGCAGTAAAAAGTGCTTCTTCCTTAGAGCATCTAGCTCATTGCACTGGACGAGAAG